CAATCTCCTTCCCAATATCGACTGTTCAAAGAGACGTCAAGACTCCACTCAAATACAGAGCGGAAGACTCATAAGCTTACATACATATTATAGCAAGATATCAGTGCTGCCGTGCCGGGGCATTCTCAATCGTGACTGCTTCGGCCTTTTCATTACCCGTGTTCGACTGCGTCACCTGCAGTTGCTTCTCACCCACCACAAGGTCTTCGCCGTGTGTGACGTGGTTGGCGCCGCCGAAGAGAGCATCGATCTCTTCCAGAGGAACCTGCTTGGTCTCGGGGATGAAGAAGTACACAAACACTGACAAGAGAAAGTTGATACCCGCAAACATATAGAAAGCGTAGAAGCCGCAGTTGTTGAGGAAAGTTGGAAAGAACTGTTGAAAGATGGCATTGGCGACGTTCTGTGTCTGAGATGCCATTCCCACAGCTTGGGCTCTAACATTCATAGAGAAAATCTCAGACGTCCAAATCCACACAGTAGCTCCCCAGGAAGGTTTATCTGAAACAAATATTAGCGGTCGACATGGTCATCTATGTTTCATGGGGACATACAAAAGAAGATGAACAGGAAGAGTAAGAATACGATCGATATGCCGACGGGTGTGCTCTTGACATCTGAGCCGGGAGCACCTATTGATGGGGTTTCGGTCTCGACTGCTGCAACGATGATCATGCAGATTCCCATACCGATGCCACCAACAATTAGAAGAAATTTGCGCCCAAATCGATCAATGATCCAGACAGCGTTGAGCGTGAAAATAATACCAAAGGTTGCATTGAGAGCATTGATGAGAGCAATCTGACCAGCGTTGGGAAACACCTTTTGGTAGATCTTGGTAGAGTATGTGTTCAGTGTGCCCTGTCCGGTGATCTGTTGACCGGCATTGATGACCAGAGCAAGAGCCATACGCTTGCGGAGAGACTTGTCTTTCCACAGCGCAGAGTAGCTTCCAGAGATGGCCTCTTTTTCGTACTCAATAGCTTCGCGAATTTTCAGGAGTTCTTCCTCGACCTCATTAGGTTCGCGAACTTTTTGGAGAGCCTTACGGGCTTTCTCAACGTCATTGTTCCGTTGGATGTACCTGAGAAATAATTAGTAAACAGACAACTTTATCGGCATCATGACACTTGCCATCGTGGAGAGCCTGGAATGGTCGGCATAAGCGCTAGGATTAAGCAAGGAACTAAGAGTTGAAAGATAACAACCATCTTCCAGTCCCATTCACCCAGGTTCTCCTTGTGCTCTGTGCACCCATAATTCACCCAGAAACAGATAAAGGAACCAACCGAGTAGAACATTTGCCAGAAGGTCATGATCTTCCCACGGATCTCAGCCGGAGCTAGCTCGCCAATGTAGATAGGACCCGCAGCTGTACGGTCGAGAAGTCAACCTTCAACGTTTGGTTATGTGATATGTAGAGCAAAGCGACTTACTAAGAGCAATGCCTTGGCCGACACCGATGATGCATCGCCCAGCAAGGAAGCACGCAATGTTACCACGAGGAGCGAAGGTCTGCATGAAGGTGGAAGCGATCACCATGACACAACCGATTGCCATTCCAAATTTACGACCAAGAAAGTCTGCCGTGGGTCCTCCCAAGAAGAAACCACCAAAGATGGCGCCCACAGTATAAGCCGTATTGACAGCTCCAATCATGTTGTCATCCGGGTCATTGAAATAGACGACCCAGTTGTTCGAGCCTTGTACGGAGTTGTATACCGATGCATCATATCCATAAAGGACCATGCATGCTGCTGCGACACAGGAGATATACCTAGGACCTCCCAAGTAAGTATTGATTCGGACCGCTGCGACTGATATGGACGGACCAGTTATAGGCTCTTTTGGAGCCCATCATTTTGAACGTCATGGTTGCTGCGCTGCAGCTTCGATAATAATATCAGACTATGACAGGCCCAAGGGTCACCTGTTGCCAGTAGCTACCTGAAGTCTTTGGGGAGATAGGAGGAAGCTTCATATGAGAGAAAGGGGGTCAATTGGGAGTTCGTCCACTGCCACCCTCAGGTATAAATAATGATACGACTCATCAGGTAGTTGATAGAAAGAACAGCAAGGCAACAAGACGACGAGAAGACTACATTCGTATAAGAACCACGGGACACAACCATGATAGCTACAGCCCTCCAGCCACGTTAAGAGCCAAGCGAGCTCGACCAATCCTTCCCGGCGGCACTAGCATCCTGGCCCAGTTTTGATAACGAACACTCGGGCATCTAAGTGGTGGGGTATCCGGGGAAAAGTTGAATGAAGCGAGGTGTTGGGGCATCACTAGAATGGGACGGGGGAGTCTGGGGAAATCCGGGGTCGAGATTCGAGGAAATTCTCGGCCATCGAAAGACATCCGTCAAAACGTTTCCACGAATCAGCGGCAACGCGGCCGGACTAGGAGTGAGGGTGAAGGAATCCACCAATTGAAGATGGGGGTGGTGCCCATGATGGTTGAATAAAAACCGGGGTACTAATAAAAGAGAAAGGAATGGATGGTAAAGAGGAGACGGTGGAAAGTAGGAAATGCTGAGCAGGATCTAGATTCACATGGCCGACGAAGGGAAGTCACAAGGGGGTCACATGAATCATTCTACTCTATTTTCTCCCATTCAGCCTAATCTCCATTCTGACAATACTAGTACTATTAATCTAACGCACTGATCCTACCGACCTTCCGCCATCCACTGCCTGACTAGGCTAAGCAAGAAAGGTAAGTAGCTAAACTGGAAATAGTCCATGTGCCTTTGAAGGTATTGTTATGATTGATTGCCCATGGCCTAGCCACTGCGACTCCCATTACCTTCATCACTAGGCCCCCTGGGCCCTTGCTTCATGTTTTTGGTCGCGCAATGTCTCCGAAGGCTTGCATTTGAGGCTCGAGGCAATACAGGAACCCTCTCCTTCAATATCCCGCTTCCCTCAGCGATGGACCCATGCGACTCTAGATCGAAAACATCCCGAAACCCCTTGCGAGGCTCCCTATTAAAGAGACCAAGACGTCTGAGCCTCCTCTCTGTCATGGAGAGATTTGCTCCGGAGCACTGGGTGCCGCCCATAGTAGGGTTGTGTTCTGTCTGCAGACTTAACCCACTATAAGGGGATGCAGAAGTCGAAGTCGTTGTGGCCATAGGCAGCAGACCTGAGGATATAAAGGTCTTAGCTGCCAGATTCCTAGATGCTCGGCTTCTGCGCGAGCGCCTGTAAGAACGCACCATGTACAGAATAACAGCTACCATTGCGAGAAATCCCAGCAGCATGCAAGCCCAATAAAGGACTTGGTAAAACACTGTCCTGTGTACTTGGCATCGATCTCTTATAAGTCTCAGGTTCTTTCGAGGGTAGCATGCAGTGCAAGCATCCTTTTCTGCTATAGACATGCTCTTTGAGGTACAAACCTTCTCCAAGTCGTATCCTCGACAAATTCTGTCTTGACAGTTCAACCTCAAATTGTGGAATGTCTGTCGAATAGACCTTTTCCGGGCTACCCTCCTATGTAGGGATTGTTCGAAGTAGTGTTGGTCGTAAAGATCTGTATAATCCAGTCTCGAAGAACTGTCAGCCGAGTTTCAAGATCTCCGACATAGACTTGAGCTGTAGTGTCTGGTCTAGCGGCCGGGTATGGCTCACTAGCTCGGGTCCGACTCGCATGTATCAGTTGCAGACCATCTTGCCTTGATAGAGACTTGTGTGAGTTATCTTCCTGTACCAACCCAGATGATGAATGGTACCTTAACTGTACGGGGTTGTCCGAGCTCATGGTTATGGGCTTTTCCAAGCTGTTTACACATCCTTGCGAGTTTTTTAATCTCACTTGAATGACAGGCAGCACGAGTGTCCCACAGAGAGGTGAGTTAACTTCAAGCTTTGGATATGCTATGCCACTCAAGTTCACCAAAAGGACTGGTGCCGATTCCAACGCCAACGTACAGTTGAGAGATATTGCACAACTCAACCCGCCCCAGTGGTATACGTTGGTAGATGTGGTATTAGTCAATGTGATAGGAATACACTCGATGCAGAGCGGCGCATCCCCTCGACTGTCTATGTTGAAGCAAGGAGCTGACCTAGGCCTATTGGAAGCCAGATCCAATAATGCATATAGGAATGCAACGAAGCGTCGTTGGCAATACATGACAAAAATGCAATTCCAATGAGTAACAGTACTTTTAAAATAGAGCGGGTACTTCTGTAGATCTTTGTTTGAGACCTAACGAGTGAGGTCATGATAGGGAACAGAGGAAGCCGTAGTTTCGGTTTACTACGAGGAATCAGGAAACTACGCTTCAGAGTAGCCCCCATAATCTACATGGAGAAAGTGTCCCCGGACCTTCAGATATGACACCAGGTACTAATTTGGATTGCCCTGATCTTAAAGTCACGAACCCCGATTTATATATATGTTCTAGAAAGCACATCCATAAAGTACCTATGTATGCGCCAGTCACCAAGATGGTATGCAAAAGGTGCCTATCAGCCTAAGAGCTCCTTGTGAAGCTGCGTACAACTTCAGGAAAGGAGCGAATGGGGGAAACTGTCTCCAGTTGATAAAACTGAACAGTGAACAGTGACTATTCAGCCCTGAGTGAAGCGAATAAGGATGAGTTAGGCTGTGCCAAATCTCCACCGCTAAAGTGATACAAGGAAGTGCGATGCTCCTCATTGATCGTCCTACTTTCTCTCCGAAATCTCGAAATTTCTCCACTGATCTTCCCTGAGGAATAGAATCCTCAAGTGAGATGAATCCGAGAGGTCTCTAACACAACCACCCAATTCGGGCAATATAGGATCACGTGCTCTCGTGACGAAGCGACGCGGTCCATCGCGCTTGAAAGATCATCAGACTGCTCGATCGAATAGCTTCATTCATTCGCCTTTAACTCCTCCCTTTCAGGATCCACTCGACTACACCCTGGTATTCATCTTCATATCTTGATTACATACAAACCACCAAGCAGATCGGGTGTTACTCACCTGTTGTGTCATCACTGATGCCCCGCACTTATGGTAAAAGAGCAAAGCAGACGCGACTTTCTTTTGCTCCGATAGCCCTGTCGCAAGATTCCGCCGAGGATCCCGGCGAGAAGAGTGACCGCAACGCTACTCTGCGTTATGGCCATCCATCAATGCCCACTGTCCGCAGTACTCGGCCTTTACCAAGCGGGCCATCAAGCGGAAGCATGTCGTCTGTTCCGTTCGTGAAGAAGTCCTCGGCAGACCAGCAAGACTCCATATCGAAAGCAGAAACTTCCGAAAGCATCGCCCCTACGGAAAAAAAGAAGAAGAAGAAGGATAAGAAGGAGAAAAAGAAGAAAAAGGACAAGAAGGGAAAGGAAGCGCAAGAGAAGAAGGAAAAGGAAAAGAGCGAGGGTAAGTAAAATGAGTTTTAAACTGCGGTGGTATCTTACCCTAACTCCATAGAGAATCCGCAGATGAACTACGACAGCCTTCTACTTCCGAAACCAAGGTGCCTCTCCACCAAGAGAGCGAAAACGATGATGAAGAAGCCCCTACCAGTGCTCGAAAAGTAAGGGATGCGCGAACTTGGAAACGGAAGAGATCTCAGACACCATCCGACGCCGCGCATTCCCCATCTCGAAATCCTTCACCTTCTGCGAGGTCCGACAATAGTGACGCTGACGATATAATCTCTCGGCCTCGACGGAAATTACGACGAGGCCCGGCACAGCAGCCTACTGTTATGCTGGATGATGACGATTCTGATGAAGGACCTATTTCAACCCCTGCAAGAAAACGAAGGAGGGTCATCGATGCTCAGCCACCACAGACACCGGAACAAAACTTGGATCAAGACGAGCTAGATCTCAGGGAGGACCTCCAAGATCTTCAAGACTCAGGTAGGTCTACACATCTTTGATTCGGCATCTTTTTTTTCTTAACCATTGACCGTTTTGCTAGTGGTGAAAGAAACACGAACCAGAGGAAGGCTGGCTAATTCTGCGCGAGCCCAAAGACAACAACATCTAGAAGCGTTACGCCGTCGGAGAGCCGGTGAAAAGGAAACCGATGACGAGAGCCTAGGGACTGCGCAAAGCGCATCAGAAAGCGAGGATGAAAGTGAGGGCGAAAGCACTATTCCACAGCCTCGTTTCCGTCAAGAAAAAGAGGATAGTGATGTCGAATCCTCTGTGGCAAGCGATGAAGATCTTGATCGTTATGAAGATGATTTCGTTCTAGAAGATGGGACTCTCGGTGCACCAAGCAGTCTCCCAGATATGCCTTTCGAATTCTCCCGTCATGCATACAAGCAATTAAAAGATTACTTCCAAGACGCGGTGGAATGGATGGTATTCAACCAGCTTAATCCAGCCTTTGAGCGCTCTAGCCCAGTCTACCAAGTCGCATTTTCAAAATTAGAAGATGAGGTCAAAGGTCGAACTGGGTCGCAGTTAATTTCCTCGGTATGGAATGCCAACTTCCGCAGCGCCCTCATGGCAAGGCCTCGTATGGAAGTTACCGGATACCCAACGCTGGAGAACCACCCTTGCGATGCCTGCAATCGATCCGGTCATCCGGCCTCCTCCGACATGAAACTATATGGAAAAGCATACTCATTGGAGACGTTTGAGCCTCTGTCGGACGAGAACAGTGACGCCGAAGAAGATGAACAAGAACGGGATCGAGATGGACATGTTCTCCCCGATGAGAACACTCGATTCTTGCTAGGAAGGTACGTCTGATACCTTTCACTCTCTATTTCCCCCTCAAGCATCGCTCACACATAAACTCCCAGACATTGCAAAAACAGAGCTACCATGGCCCACACTCTTATCCACTGGCGCTTTCACCTTAATGAATGGGTAGTAGACCATCTTGAACGAATGGGCTACATGTCCGATAAGGAAGTTTTCCGGCGGAACCGCTGGAACCAGAAGAAAAAGGCGAAAAGGGCCGCCGAAGCTGTCGGATTGATGGTTTACGAGGGCGAGATAAAGAAGCTCTGGCGAGATTTCCATATCAACCTCAGAACGGCTCGAGAATCAGTGGTATGTTCATTCTATCAGACTCTCACCTTCGTCCTCTCCATAAAATTTAGGCTGATATCTATATAGGCGCTTGGATAGTACCTCATCCAAATCTCTTTATTATTCTTCGCATTCATCCTGTCGATATCTTTACTTGAGATAATATCTACTATGGGCCTTGAGAGGCTGGCTTTTGTTATTATCTTTTTTACCCCTCAAACTTATGCTATGTACATACACCTGGATTCATGGTTCACTCATGTCATCCTTTATCTCTCTGCTTCTTGTTTACTACCCCGATGGAATTTGGTACGCTCGGTTGATACCCCAGGTCTGGCATGGCCTTCCGTACGAATTTTCATTCGAACGTCTTTACCTTGATTCTGCCTCTTATTTTGCCTTTAGCTATTTTCTCGCTTGATGCAGCCTTCAGCCTTCATGACTTCACGCACTTCTTGGATGATAATCCAGTACTATTTACGATCATGCCTCTATAATCATTCACGTTCCATTATCTAGGCATACGTTGACCAAAATAAGTAACAAACGACATCAGCGAAACGAAAAGAAAAGGAATCAGTATGAGTTATACAAATACATGCATTGCCCGCTCCAGGACTTCCAGAAACAGAGGCATGAGGGGAGAAGAAAAAAAGGTACATAGAAGGATCGAAGACTCCGAAATGACAGATGGATGAAAGCCATTCACATAACCATTAAGTCCATTCTTTTAATTGCCGCGCCGGTCCAACCCCATAAATTATATTTTGGAAATCGCAGGCGATTGTTCAATCAGATGCTTTGTATACCCTTTTCAGAACGCATGCGGATTGTGTGGTCATGCATTGCCGTTTTTAACAATTTTACTGTTTTCAAATCCATTTAACGCGTGGTTCGATTCGTGTATATCGGGAATACCAGACAGGGTCATTGTTGTCACACTGATCTGCCCCAGGCAGACTGATGGCGCACAGCAGGCTTTAAAGCAACAGGCGGTTCGAGCATAGACTATAGGTTAAGACTGTTAATGGCTGACCATTGACACCTGTTGCGGTCTTTGCCTTCGCTAGCGATGTCCATTTACAGAGTAGGTTGAGCCTGCTTCTGCTCCTCGGGAATCGCTCCGGGGGTAAGCATCTGCAGAAATGACTTGATCAGCATTCATGTACGGTTTAAGCCGTCAAAAACATAACGTCAAGAAACAAGAATAATGACGGCAATTTCAATTATGATTATGTCGATCTGTTGGGGTGATCGTCAAAGGGTAAAAGAGTTTTCACCGCGTCTCGGCTTTCGGGCGCAACCAGAAGATAAAGCGAATAATGGCGGTGATGGCGATAACAAGGCATTGGAAATGCATAGCAGCAAAAATTTTTAGATATGACCTACCTCGTTGGCACCCTTGATCATGCCCTGCTCACGCTCCATCTGCACGTACTGCTCCTCCTCCGCATAGGCGAGCGCGAATGGGATACCGACAAGGAAAGCACTAGTGCTGATAACCCAGAGTGCGCGACCGCTGAACATGAGACTGGACTTTGTGAATGAGGTGATGGAGGAAACTGTGCTGGTAACCTGGCGGCGGGCAGAGGGAGGGATGATATCTTTCAGGGCGGACAGACGCTCGTAGAAGGTCTCGCCATCGAGCTCGATATCGGAGTCCTCGGAGATCTCAGACTCTGAATTCGTTATACATGTTAGAGCATCGGTTAAACATTGTGGTCTTCAGGCTGAAATCAGGATTGCTACGCGGTGTGTTTGAGCCAGCAGTTTGGTCGGCGTAGTGAGTGCGGCCGGCAACACAGGCTGGGAGCAAGCTTGTACCATCTCGCACACACACAGAAGGTAGCCTCGACACCGCTGAATCCGAGGGAATGCACTAGAGTACTAACCGGTATCAGTGTAGTCGTCATCCTCGTCATCCGAGGCAAGAAGGACGTTGTTCTTGGTGGCCTGGGGCTTCTCCTGGGCGTAGTGCTCATCCTCGACTTCTTGGAGCTGAACCATCTTGACTATAGGTTATTAATTGAATGGGAGATTATAAAATATATGAATGGACGAGGCAAATTGACGGTGTTGCGGTGTTGGATGGAATTGAAATTGAGAGGTGACGGAAACTGATGGGTAAATGGAGAGGATTGCGGATTCGACATCGTTCCGTACCAACTTTTTTCCCGAGCCAAATGGAGCTAAAAGCGGCAATGGCCTTCGGCCCCAATAGGTACGATACTGCAGCGCATAGAAGGATCTCTACCTTAACTACCTGGTCAGACAATGAAAAATATATATGTGATATAGGAAAAACAGCACTCAAGAATACATGTTTTGATGTCATTCGTTTTAATTACATAGAGGGAAGAAAAATGTCGGGCGTCACGCCCTTCTCTTAACTATACTATACAATAAGCAGCAGCTTCTATCTATTCCGTAGACCATTCCTTCTCTAGATTTCACTTCATTCATCTTCTTCCCAGCTTCCATCTGGCGATCCTTTCTTGGATCTCCTCCCATGGGAAAGAACGAAGTTATATCCCTCCAGTTCGCCTTCCTGCAGAACCACAGTTGGCCTACCGGTGCCTTGTCCCTTGTTCTGGACGTTACCGCTGAAAACCTGTCGGGCAACCCGGCGCAGATCCTCCACGGTCAGTGCATCGATATGATCGCACATCTCTTTCACACCAACCTTCCGACCATGCACCTGAACCTGGCGTCCGAGATCCTCCAATTCGACCATTCGTGACTCCAGGTTCATGAGAAGAGAGGAGCGGAGCTGGTTCTTTGCACGGTTGACTTCCTGGGCCTGCAAGGCAGAGTAACCGTTGTCAAGAGTCAGTGCCTGCAGTTCGCGGCACATGACCTCGAGCATCTCGGGCGTCCGTGTCGGACTGCATGAGGCAGAGATCCCGAAAATTCCGCTGTCGGTGTAACTATGATTGAAAGCGATACAGCTCTCAACCCATCCGTGCTGGTTCAGCACGTTTGTGTAAAGGCGTGAGTACATACCCTTGCCAGGACCGCCTGCGGAGAATGATCCACCACCACCAAGCAGTGTCTGGAGAGTCGCGAGAGCATAGATGTCAGGGTTGGAGATGGGAAGAGCCTCAAAGGCGAGATGGATATGGCTCAAGCGAGGAAGCATGGGGTTCGCCGGAGGAGGGATTGGAGGAAGAGAAAGGAAACCGCCAGTATAATGAGAAGGGCGTGTCAAGTTGAATGTTGACGGTTCCACCAAGGAAGGATCCAATGGTGACATGGAGCTGTTCTGCGACCCGGAAAGATTCTTGAGGAATGGAAGTTTTGAGAGAAGACTGGACTCGGACTTTGGGGATGCAGGAGTGGTCGATGTGGTGGACGACGGCGTGAACTGGGGAATTGTGGGCACTTGCCCTTCTTCGACAGCCGACTTGGAGTTCGACAAAGTAGTTTCAATGCCGGTTCCCGATAGAACAGGACCCTTGTTAGACTTTTGCCCCTGCATGTCACCGAAGTACTGCTCCGTGAGCTTGACAGCTACATCATGCGGCACACCGGCGAAGGCAACGACCATCCTGCCAGGGTTGAAGAAGACTTCGCGATATTTATCCACAACCGCCTTGTTGATCTCTCCTAGTCTTTCCTCCGGGCATAACAGTGGGTTTCCCAACGTGTTGTCCTTGTAGGCGGCCATATGTACCAGCTCCGGCAGAATAAGCTCCGGCTTAGCCCAGATCTCGCCAATCTCATACTCAGCTGTACCCAGCTGCTGGAGCACCTCCTCTTCTGTGATGAGCGGATCACGAATTGTCTCAGCCAAAAGGCCCAGAGTCGTTGGGACAGCCGAGTTGAAACTGGCAGACTGGTACATCAGCGACTCTCGCGAAGAGGCGCACTGAATGTTGCCTCCAAGACCCTCAAGAACTTCAAGCATCTCGTCGCTAGACCGTTTCTTGGTCGACTTGAATGCTAGTCGATCCATAATATGGCTAACTCCTCGTAGGCTCTCATCCTCGTATCGGGAACCAGCGTCGACGTAAACTCCAACACCAGAGAAGGGTCCTGGCAAAGATTCAGTAGCGACACGAATTCCATTCGGCAAGGTGGTGATCTGGTCGAGCTCAGCAGGATCCTATAGCATTGCGCAAAGACATGAGTTAGAAGATCAGACCAAACGAACACCCAACATTTCGGCATTACCTTGGAACCGGCCTCATTGACAGTAGCGAAGCTCCTTGAAACAGAACGAGAGGCGCGAGAGAGTGGCTTCGCGGACTCAACTGCCCGCAATACTGAGCGACGCATATTGTCAGTCTTGAATTCAATAAGTTCGGAGGAGATTGACTTCAGGTGCTCCTTGTGTTGTTGGGGAGAGCTGTTTTCCAGAGACCACCGCAAGGATTTGGATGAAAGCCGAGATCCCATGGCTTATCTAATCCAGTCTGTTTTCATCCTTAATCAAAACCAACCAAAATGACGTCGACTGGAAATTGTTCCTTCCCTTTCATTTCTAATACTGTTCTGAGTCGACTTGGTCTAGATCTTCAAATTAGGTGTGGCAGCAGCATAGATGGCCTCTTTTTTTCCCCCACCTCTGTGTGCTCGGCTACGTCCTTTATGGAATCGTCATTTATACTGTACGACGAAGTCTGAAACAAAGAATTGCTTTTAAGCCACGCCCACATCTATCACGTAACCTCTAGTTCTACCGAATAAACCATTTATGGCCGTGCAACTAATTTTAGATCTATCTTAGCTGAACCTGTTACGAATTCGCCGTAGCCCATGTTCTATACCAGTCAAGGCAAGAGGCATTCGCAACACTGGCGCCGATCTTGATATTCAGGCCGCACAAAATCTGTTTCACAGCATTCTCGACTTTCTTGCCATTGGACGTGACTGGAATCTCTGGACAAGCGTCCACTATACCCGGGACGTGCCGAGGGCTGAGCTCCTTGCGGATAGTGGCTTGAATACGTCCCGCGAGTTCCTGCGGCATGGTCTTTTCCTGCGATGCTAGCTTCACGAAAAGGACGACAGTCTCATCTGCATCAATTCCGTCTCGCCTCCGTCCAATGCACAAGGAATCCTCCACTTCCTCTGCAAAGTGCTTGAGCAGAATATTGTAGATTTCTGCGCTTCCAAACCTAACTCCGGCCGGTTTCAGGACGCCATCACTCCGACCTAGCATGACTACCCCTCCAGTCCGAGGGTCCAAGCGCACGAAGTCTCCATGATGCCAGACTGATGGTCCGAAAACATCAAAATAACTCTTGCGGTATTTCTCTGCACCAACAGTCCCAGGTGGCCAGAACATGACCGGCTGTGCAGGGAAAGGCTTTGTACAGACGAGATCGCCTGGTTCGCCAGAAGCACTAATGTCGTTGCCCGCATAGTCGTATACAGAAACGGCCATGCCTAGGCTGCGACATTGAATCTCACCCTTGTGAACCGGCAAGATAGGGCAGCAGGAACAAAACAAGGACAGAATATCAGTTCCACCAGTGATTGAACCCAGCATAATATCAGGGTGAATAGATGAGTAGACGTATTCGAATGTGGAGGGCGCCAGCGGAGAGCCAGTGCTAAATATCGCTCTCAGGGTTTGCAGTGTTACCGGCCGGTGGAGGTGCTTTCGCGGATTCAGGGAAGCCTGCTCCAAGATAGACAGGTACTTTGCCGAAGTTCCGAAGTGGGTTATCTTCAATTCATCAATTAGACGTGGCATGGCCATCTCTCCATTCCCGCCTTCAGAGTCAAACGGCCGAAAGGGGGAACCATCGTACAGAACAATGGTGGCACCACTAGCAAGCCCGGAGACCAACCAATGCCACATCATCCAAGTGACAGTAGTAAAGTAGAACAAGCGGTCTCCAGGGCGAATATCGCAATGGAGCATGTGTTCCTTCTTATGCTGCAGCAAGGTTCCAAGCGATCCATGAACAATAGGCTTAGGTGCCCCTGTCGTACCGGAAGAGTATAATATATACACCGGGTGACCAGGCTCTAAGCTTGCAAATTCGAGGGGAGCCGAAGGGTTGCTGGCGGCAGAGAGGAAAGACTCGTACGTAGATACCTTTCCCTGAATAGGTGACAGCTCCTCAAGATTGATCCGGTGTGACTTGATTGTCTCGAATACAACAAGCAGCTCCAGGTTTGGCAGTCCTGGAACAATTTGGCGGATTTTAGCCTCTGCCCCATGCACTTTGCCATTATATAATGAAGCATTGTCGGCGAATAGAATCTTCGGTTCTATCTGTTTCAGGCGCTCTAGCACTGCGTGCACACCCGTGTCTGGGGAGACGCCAGTCCAGAATGCTCCTATGGAAGTTGTCGCCAGCATAGCAACAACGGTATTGGTATGATTGCCTAGAAACCCTGCCACACGATCCCCGGACTGTAGGCCCGCTCCTTTTAGTGAGTTGACACATTGCCGGACGCGTTCACGCAGCTCTTTCCATGAAACATACTCTCGTTCCGACTCCGTAGCAGCGATTATCGCCACCTCATTCTCACCGAGCACGCTAGCTGGGTAGAGAAGATTCTCAGCGAAGTTCAGTCTACTACCTTCGAAGAAGTTGGGTCTAGGGAAGAGATCTTGATCAGAGTCGAGGGCCTGTACTACTTGTCAGAAGGAGAAGAGGCATTGCCGCTGGGTAACTAAAGGAGCCATGACAAGACAGCTGTAAATACTTACACGGTCATATGGTTTATGAGACTTGATCGTTGTGTAGTGCCATATCCGCTCCCAGAACAGTGCAGGCTCCGAGACACTCCAACGCCAAAGGTCATCGTAGCTCTTCAAAGACAGACCGTGCTCTGCGTTTATCTTCATCATAAAGTCATATATCTGCGTGTCCTGCGGAGACCTATGCCGCCATAGTTCTTTCGAACCGGAAGAAACCCCGTTTGAGGACATGATGGAAGCGATTATGGTCGGTATGTTCCTAGTGAGTTATACCCCCTTCGATTAAATTTTGTCTAATCGTGGAGAAGAAATCAGTTATCGTTTGCCAACAGGCGCTATTAGTACTGTACCTCGGTGTTGAGAAATGGTTCGATTTGAAATTTGGACCGTCCAGCTTCGGCACGGAGTACGATTGAGTTGATCATTAACTTCCAGACCTAGTTGCTAAATAGTAATTGGTAGTAAGGGCAAATCTATATGGAATGTCTAGGCGCCCAAGGGTCTAATCGGGGATCGTGGGGGCGGGAGATTCCGGAGAAGCGACAGACAAGAAAAATCCCCCCCGCCTTACCCTAGATAGAAGGCGACCGACTCAATTCAAATGCTTATTACTATTACTAGATCAAAATAGATCCCTAGTTTGGCATTTCCTCGTTACGATTTTCTTCAGCACAACGAAAGCTCAGACCTTGTGCATTGTGGCAAAACGACACAGCATTCTGTTAGTCAATGTTATTTCAAGTATGTATGCGTATCAAGATATGTATGGCACATGGTTTGCCGGCAATGTCGCATATGTACTGGTACTGGGTGTATGGATGTATGGATGTATATACTCGAGGTAATCAAAAGATAACCACTGCCTCAGAGACGGGGTATGAGGGTCAAGACACTGTTTGTATGTTCTTTGATGTGAGAAACCTGCCTCGGTCGTATTCGCCTTGCGTTGCCCCTTTCTGGGGAGTTTTGATTACATACGGAGTACTACAAAGTAGTAACTAGCTTAACTAACTAGTTTTAGATGAGAATTGAGGGAATAAAAAAAAAAAAAAGGAAAGCGAACGGTGCTTCAGGGGCCGGTATCTTACCGTATCATAACTCCATATTCTCGGGTGAACCAGCTTGTAAAACGATGCAGGGGCAATGGGACCATACCGTACGATACTATGGGTCCCTGCTGGATACCATTTGGTCTGGACGATCCACTCTTGAAAAAGTCCTTTTATTTTTCCTCCCAACGCTGGGATCCATCGGGGGAAGGGATTAATTATAGTTGATGGTCTTTTCAGCTAATTCATATTACTGACTCTCTCTTTCTTCTTCTCTTTACTGTCTCATCGCGATAAGCGTCAATTAATCTGGGCCAGGACAAGAGTGACTTTGCGATTGGGCTCCGTGCCCTTCCAGTTCCCACGTGCAAAAGGTCTGTGCCTTACGTTACCACCTGAAATTACAGGACCATCAATCACTCCGGCTTGTTCGGAGTTGCCTTTGCATCTCACCCTCATTTTCTCTCCTGTCTTTGTATACCGCCCTCGAGTCTTGGTCTTCTTTCCATTCCTCCCTCGCATCTGTTGACTATTTGCACAAGTGTTTCGCACACTTGGTCTGGATTGTGGCTGACTGCTTTCCTGTGGATACTTCAGACCGTCGTTGCTGTCCTAGTACTTTCTGAGACATTGGCAAGTGAACGAGGACCGGTCAACAAGCACAACGCTCGCGTCAGGAGTCTCGTTACCTCTTTCCTCAAGTAGCTTCTATTTTCACTCTCCCTTCCAGGACCGCGGTAGAAGTTTCTCTCCACACCATATCGGTGTTCCTGCGAAATTTGTTGTTTCCGACTGGCGGTTTCCTTGCAATGCCTCGTCGATCCGTCAACTCTTCCGCCAACGACCCCTCCAACGCGCAGTCCACCTCATCCAACTCTGGAAAGGGCGGTATCGCCTTCAAGGCGCCCACAATCAAACCTAGTCTTCTGAGCCAATTATTCTCAACCTCTCCTAAGTCCAAATCCGACTCTCAGTCTGCGAACGCGACCGCCAGGGGAGCTAGTGGGAACGCTCATCCTACTTCGATCAGCTCGGCTTCACTGTCCTTACCGACTATTTCTCTCTCTACTGCTACCGCGGGCAACCCCAATATGGACGAACCGCCGACTACGCTCTTTCAGCCCCCCTCGCCTGAAGAGGCTCGTCGCCAGGCCAAGGCAAACGCGCAATTTGGCACCATCGGCCATCCCAGCCACCGGTATTCCAGTCAACATCCTGGTGGTGTCTTTCCCGAGCCGATAATGGATGAGCCTCCCTATTATTACCTTCTTACCACCTACATTAGTTACCTAATCCTAATTGCATTTGGACATGTCCGTGACTTCTTCGGCAAACGCTTCCGTGAAGAGAATTACAGACACTTGAAACCCCGGAATGGATATGGTGCCCTCAACAGCGACTTCGACAATTTTTACGTCCGTCGTCTCAAGCTGCGCATTAATGATTGTTTTGAGCGCCCTGTGACGGGTGTACCCGGAAGATACATTACGCTGATCGACCGTGCAACTGATGATCACAACAAGCACTTCTACTTCACCGGAACCACCACCGATACGCTCAACCTGAGCTCGTACAATTACCTTGGTTTTGCGCAGTCTGAAGGCCCATGTGCAGACCTCGCCGAGGAGTCAATTAGGAAATATGGCATCACCGCTCCTAGCACCCGAGCGGAGGTTGGCACACAAGATCTTCACATGGAAGTTGAAGATCTTGTCGCCAAGTTCGTGGGCAAGGAAGCGTCAATGGTCTTCTCTATGGGATTCGGCACTAATGCAAACATTTTTCCTGCTCTGGTCGGCAAAGGTGACCTAATCATTTCCGATGAGCTGAATCACGCGTCAATCCGCTTCGGTGCACGTCTTTCTGGGGCATCTATTGGTATGTTCAAGCACAACGATATGAAGGACCTGGAGAATAGGCTTCGGGAGGCTATCAGTCAGGGTCAGCCCCGTACTCATCGCCCCTGGAAGAAGATCTTGGTCGTTGTGGAAGGTCTTTATTCTATGGAAGGGTCGATGTGCAACCTCCCAGGCTTGATATCTTTGAAACGGCGATACAAGTTCCATCTTTTTGTTGATGAGGCTCACTCAATTGGTGCCATTGGACCAAGAGGCCGAGGTGTTTGTGACTACTTCGGCATCGATACAAACGAAGTGGATATCCTCATGGGAACCCTCACAAAGTCTTTCGGTGCTAACGGAGGGTATATTGCTGCCGATAAGAACATGATCGATCAGCTTCGTGCAGCGAATTCTGGAGTTATCTACGGAGAATCGCCAGCCCCGGCAATCTTGTCTCAAATCTCGTCTGCTCTTCGTATCATCAACGGCGAAATCATTCCTGGTCAAGGTGAAGAGCGACTGCAGCGTTTGGCTTTCAACTCCCGATACCTTCGTCTGGGCCTGAAACGTCTTGGCTTTATAGTGTACGGCCACGACGATTCACCAATTATTCCAGTGCTGCTGTTCAACCCTGCTAAGATGCCAGCCTTCTCCCATGAAATGCTCAAGCGAAAGATTTCTGTTGTCGTTGTTGGTTATCCTGCTACACCCTTGGTCTCCTCCCGTGCTCGTTTCTGTGTTTCTGCTGCGCATACTAAAGAAGACCTCGACCGGGTATTGACCGCCTGTGACGAGATTGGCAATGTCCTGCAGCTCAAATTCTCGACTGGTGTTGCCGGCGGAGCCGTCACATCGAATGAAGACGTGACTCCTCCTCCAGAGATGGAGAAGGAATGGCACCGGAAGCGAGATCCCGTTACTCCTCCGCGGTGGCGTATCGAGGACGTTATCAGGCGCGGTGTCCAGGACGCCAAAGGTCCGTTGTATTAGTTCGTCATGATTGCGTTCGGTATCGTTACATATACGTTTAAAGGGTTGGCCTACAGATTCGGTTGATGCTGGTCATGCCGCGTCACAGGCTGATCGAACCATTACTATTCTACGCTTGCTGTGTATCATTACACACCCGCTCTTGGGTTGTCTCTGCATTCTTATCACGTTTCCCCCCTCCTCCACATACATGACGTGGAATGGCCACAGGCCTCAGAAACAAAACCACAAATTTCTGACCAAGGTATCGGTACGCCGTTTGAAACATTGACTACCGGACAACAAACTTGCACGAGTGCACCTGTTCACACCACTCCGTGTCCGTATCACAGAGGGGTTGACTAGACCTTGTACCTTTGGTGGCTTTTTTGCCACTTTTTCTTTTCTTCTGGCCCCTTCCTTTCACTGTCTCCTTATCGACATCCGCTGGTTCATTCCCCCCACCAAGTGCTGGAGGATGGGACAAGACCAAGCTTGTTATTGTTGAAAAGCACGGGGCCACACACTTGTACCCTAATGAGTTTGATGAGCGGTGGGGGCGCAACGGATCGCTTCGTTGGCATATATGAACGTTTATACGTAGATGATTGTTAATACATTCTTATTGAACCCATTTGTATCTTCATATATATATAGTTAGGAATTTAATGTGATGAGGCCATGTACGTTGCTCTCCGAAGCAATAAGTCAAATAGTATTCGAATACCCTCTGTTTATGCTATATATGCACCCCGTATGCAGACATCTATCCGTAACCAAACACCCCAGTAAACCCTGGCGGCTAGAAAATATAATGAATCCGGTACGCCGACTGAATGATGGTTTGTGACCTTATGCCACCTTCTGTTGCTATGATAACCATCTAGAGGTATCTCCAACCTCAGTCTTAAGCCCAGCCCAGGCTTGAATCCAATAACGTCCAAGGATATATAGAAAAACAACCAAAACAAAGGCGCCGAACGATGGAGAATAAACCTGTGAAAACCCAGAATTTGCAGCGATAGCAAACAGTAAACCCCACAGGCCAAAAGATCGTCATGAAGTCATAAAGAAATTGTACCTGCTTAACGCAGTCGAGAAAGGTAAATAGGTGTAAAGAAAACAGAAAATTCTAGATGATTACACGACATGAAGTCTAGTTAATCATTTAAACTGTACCGTATCTATCACGATCATCTTCTAGAAGCGCCTGGCTTTCTGTGGGAGTACGGTGGTGGTGGGCCTGCCGGGTAGGGGATACGGAGGGTATCCAGCCTCTCATCCAGCCGCGGACTCGCATCCAGCGACTGCGCCCGCACTTCGGATCTTCGATCTCAATAATGGACTCGTCATCTCGCGTGCCGTACATCAGGAATTGCACGCCCATGAAGCCGTCGAAGAAGAGGACGCCGAATGCCCCCAGGAAGAAGGGGATAGCTCGGCCTACCCATTCGGCGCGATTGTTGCCGCCGGAGTCAGCCCATCCGCCGCCGCCGTAAGGCGGGTAGTCGTACCAGGCGTTGGGGTTTGTGAGGAGGGACGTGGAGTAGAAGAAGTTTCCGCTGAATGCGGCCATGAATAGTAGCGGAGACAGACCGGATGTGCTCTTGCGTTTGTAATTCTTGTATAGTTGAGGTGGGCGGGAGAAAAGATATAGGACCGTTGACATCCACGAGAAAAGGGTGCCAAAGAACTCCAGGCTGAGGAAATAGGGGTGCGGTTCGGTGGCTGGCTCCGTTGGTGTTGCGTTGGCCACGACGGCGCAGAGCATCGATGCTAGTAGAACTGTGCGCGTAGAGGCAGTAGGCAGACTGGGGCCACTGCTTTTTCTGACCATGGACCGACGGGATGAGCTCAGCTTCTCATTGGAATACGACGGAGACTGGCCGTTATAAGAACCGAAGATAGGCTCTTTGCGGCCTTTCACATCCTTCGCGTCTGCATTGACTGTGGTCTCTGAAGGTGCATGGTTGACTGAGTCATTCTCGGAAAAGGATACCCCTTCTAATATACCCCCGGATCCACCCTCATGATGCGAGTGAGAGAGACTAGCGTAGCCATCCTGACGTCCTTTGATATGCGTGTACCAGAAAAACTGGAAAACAAGTGTAACATCGACCAGGACATAGTAGCTTGCAATGATGACTTGCCAAGTAGCTTGCCGAGTGAGTATAGCACCGATCAGGTTGCTAGTATCTCCCAAGCACCACTCCACAAGAAAGAATATGGACAAGCCCGACGTAGACTGCAACTGGACATTCTTGTATATCTGTGGGAGCTGTGCAAACAGCCACGAGACAATGCTGAGGGTACCCAGCACTGATGATACGAGAGCGAGCGGCGTAGGTATGCACGTGTGTAGATATGCGGAAATGGCAGCGAAAAAGGGCGAAGACGGCTCACAATGTTGCGGCAGCGCTTGAGTCAGGTGCTGTATTAAAGGAGGAGGCATATTCTCGATTCGTTGATATCCACCGAAAACTCGGAAAACTCGTCTATACCACCTGGAACGGAGTGTTTTGTATCGGCGTGTGCAGGAGAAAGTCACGACACGGCGAGATGTTCAGATGAATGGGCGAGGGTCCCACAGGGTACTGGGTGCCGGTCTATGCGGTGTGGAACTCGTTCTGCAAGGACAAAGGGGATTAAAAGGAGAGTACGGAGAAGGAGGAAGTAAGAGGAGGAAAGGAGATAGGAGTAGGAGGGAGTCCAAGGGGGTCGGCCTGATTCAGATATGGCATGCAGAACGAGTCACACTCCGTCCCCGATTAGGTCACGAGTCCAGGGCTGAGCTGAAGATCGGCGATGATGACCGACTCTGATAAGACTTTCATATCTCCCCGTCCTGATTGGCTCCTACTGGATCGGGAAACGCTCCTCCGCTCCGGTTTCCGGCGGCGGATGATCTTCCGTTGGGATCACGGGATCCCCGGCGGCGGGGAACCGTGACCGTGGGATACCCTCCGTGACGTGGCTCCAATGTCAAGAAGTCTAGAATAGACATACATATATCTGTTTTCTTCCCAAGCTTAGAGTTACTTTGACCAAACTCACGCGGGTGATATGCGATAGAATAATATGTGGAGCATTGCACCCATGACGAAGAAAGATTTACTTTGTGGGGAAAAGTAAAACATCTCGTCGATAAGATATGCTATCGCTTGGATAGGCAGCTTTTATACTCATGATTTACTCATCAGACTACTTCGGGTAAAAACAATGGCCGGGACTTGGCAACTTGTTTGGATTTTGACGATGTCCTTCAGGCCTATGATCTATTTATTCTACTTGCAAGTAAACAAGGTCACCTATGACTGTGGCTTTCCTGCTTGCAATCTCCCGACCTAATTCAGAATTACCCAATTCACTCCGCTAGAATCTACGTTTCTATCTCATCCGACATAGCCCGAATGACATAAATCTCAAGTTCAAAAGCAAAAAGTGATGATCCGATAGACTCTTCATTTTCGCTAAATTCGATCATTACAGGAACTGAATAATTGGAAAAAGCTACATAGAACTTGTCCATTCCTGCTTCCCTGAGCATCGGTTTTACGAAACCTACAAGAGCATAAGGAGCAAAGTATAAGTTTTACAATAGACTAAGTCACTAACATACAGATAGAGGTATCAAACTCAGCACCAGTGTCATTAAGTCGTTAAGCACTACAAAACATTCCGAATGTTTATCTTCTAACCATTTCCCCATAAAAGTGTACGCACTAAAATGAAAGAGTAGCAAATATCACTTAAGTAATCTAAGAAAAACGATCTAGGAAGGTTTCCAATCAGCAGCTGCCGCTATGGCTACTGTGCCGAGAATGACTGCGATGATGACGATGATGACTATGATGGCGATGGCCGTGACGATGTTTGTGACGGTGATGATGATGTCCATGGTGATGGTGGTGGTGATGATGATGATCGTGCTCATCATCATCTGGTTTATCCTCCATCTTATTTCCAACGAAGTTACCTAATATCGCACCACCCACAGCTCCTAGAAGGCCATGGTTACTTTGATGCCCCAAATAATAGCCTCCAGCACCACCAGCAAGTGCCCCTGCCAGGTTGCGCTCAGTTCCCTCGTTGTCGGAAGTGTTGTTGGATTCTTGGGGACGAGAGCTTGGAGGATGGTGCCGATCTTGTTCATCGGTGGGCACGTTGCTGGGTTACTTCAGTGTGAATTCATCGGAATTTTATAAAACAACAGCGTACTAATAATCAGCGTTACTTCCTCGACGGTTTCTTTCTTGCTCAAAGCCCTCCGCAGAAGCTGGGTTGAGGTAGTTCTGTTGCGGGCCCGACATTTGGGGGGGATAAGACCTCGGCGTTTGTGCTAAGTCATACTGCGAGCCATACTGGTAGTTTTGACTCGGAGGGAATTGCTGCGAATAAGGATTTTGGGGTTCATAATCGTACGGTGGATTTTGGTATAGGCTATCTGCGGGCGCGTAGAAGTTCGCCTCGGGTCCAGGACCAGGAGGAGCGTAGTGTGGGCGTTGGGCATAAGGATCAGACATCCTGAAGGTGGGGTGGAAGGTAGATGCAGGTAGCACTTTGTACTCAGGTTCTCGAAGGGGAGGTGTTGGTCAATAAATAATGGTTCTGTTTCATTTGAGGAGTCATGGAGTATGGATTAACTGCCTAATGACCATGGCGTGCAGCGCAGCTGACCTTCTCGCGCGACATTCCGCCAAGGTGGTATGAGGTGACAGCTTATAACATTGCATACCATACGCCAGTCTGCCAGACTCAGTAGAACCCTTCTTCATAAGTTCTTGAAAATCAGATAGAACAACCATGCACAAGGTAAAGAGAAGACAGCAAAGGGGGAAAAAAAAGCACAGGTCTACATTCTTGCGTGACTCCACATCTGGACTCGACTCAGCATTCAGCGTGACTGAAATGCGTGTTCTAATCGCTCACTGGGTAGTCCGACATTCTTACTGCGGCAACTTTAGGAGCGATGGCTTTTCTGCCAACTGACATGTACGACAGACACATGCGTTGCACAAAGCCAGGGCTAGAGGCTAGGGGTCTCCTAAATGACATGGGACGGCATATAGTCAATGCCTACTTTTCAACACAACAGCAGTAGTAGGCCCTATTGTTGGTACCTAAAACCTTTTCCTTCTTCAAGCTTGTCCCATTTCTCTTAAGCAGGGAAATTATTCCGAAAATAAGCAAGTCCAACATATACATGCAAAGCGGAGGGTTCTCCAGCGGATATACAAGCATAGTCTTCTGCAGCACAGAAGACAGACACCCTTCTAATATCAGTAGCAGACCCAGAAGCTATGCTGAGTCTCAAACACAACTGCCTTTGTGTTAGGTTTCTTGTAGGTCATATTGAAGACATTCCTGGATGATCAAAATTGACGGACGGAGGAATGGAGGGGTAGACTATAAGACCCGGGCTTCACCATTCGTCTTAGATAATTTGTAAGAATATAGGATCTTGTTGTACTCCGTACGGCGTAATGAACGAGAATTGCTTTGTTGGTACCAAAGAAAGCGACTAGCCGAGTTTGGCTTCGGAGATAAATCACGTTACAACCAAATGCCATCAGGCTGAGAGTCTATCAGATTCATCTGATCTAGACCTCCTTATCTTCTTTTTACCTGTCTCGTTAATCGACTAGTTATTGCTCTAGGTAGATACGGCTAGTTGTGAAATATATGATTCTCATTGATTACCACTTCGACAAGCTTGAACATCTGACGTTGAGCGTCATAGCATTTTCTCAATACCAACGCCTCTACATTCATACTTCTCCGGAAGTGGCCAAGCGGCAGCACATTTCAAAGACACCGTCAATATGGAGACCCAGATTAGTATGAATAACCCTTGATCCTGGTCATATTTCGTTATAGCTTCCGACAGTATGAAGAGTTCTTCAACTGACATGCTCATACAGGAACGCCTAGCCTACGACAGAGCTGCCGCTTTTGTCGGGGTCGAAAGATTAGATGTTCTGGCGGACGTATCTGTAAAGCTTGCCTAGACCGTAATATCAACTGCGTCTACGGCCCTGAAGCCCGCAAGGGCCGACCAAAGCGCAAAGGAACGGAGGACCAGTGCACCATTAACCCGGGTGTCAGCAAGCGCGACAGGAAGCAGTCCACTTCATTGATTAATGCTGCAGTATCCGGCATTCTGAGGGATGATCCGGTGGTGCATGCGTCAGTGGCCCTCAAGAAGGTTCACACATTGGGTAACGACTTAGAGCAGATGTTTGATGATTACTTTATCAGCAAGACTGGATCGGAATCCAATCTTCTTCAGTTGTCTATAAGTTCTTTTCAGAAACGTCAACAGCGATCGTATACTTCGATACCACACATCCATCCTACATACCATCAGGCAAACTATGAAGAGCTCTTATCCTCCATTGCCCAAGAGATGGTGGAAATGCTTCTCCTGCGCGTTGGCTCTTTGAGATGTGGACAACCGGAGGGCAACCGAAACTTCTTTATTGCTAGTCTAGTGGCTGACACGACACCGTCCATGTTCGACCCTCCACAGCATCATAATCCTCTAACAGCTCTAGGAAAGCATCGCATCTTGCAGCTGATTGACATGTGGTTTTCGGTGCATCCTCTGTCGCCACTGGTATCAAAAACCTTGCTCACTGGTGAAGTTAAGGATGGGACAGTGGACGAGGCTCTATTGGCAATAATTTTGGCTGATGCGTGTCATGTTTTAAGTGGTGACAGCGAGCAGCATGGAGCTATAAGTGATGAATCCCAGAAGTTGTCTGAGTTCGCTTCCATCCAAATCAAGCAGCGCCAGCTACCACTTGACGACACAGAGGCCCTCTCCACTGTACAAGCCTTGTTTCTCATAGCATGGAGAGAATTGTGCTTGGGACATGCCCGGCGAGCAACCTGCATTGTGGGCTATACATGCTATATGGCCTCACGCTTAGAAAAAACATGGAAGAATGCCGACATGAAGAGCGTAAAATTAAATGGTGTTGATATTGACCTGGTCAAAAAAGAGGTCCTGCAAAATGTTCACTGGTTATGCTTAACCACCACCACCTGGGCGTTCATGCAATTTGATCAGGCCCTTGCGCTCTTCGGCCCTGACGAGATCCCTGATTTTCCCTGCCTGGATGAGACCACTTCCGCCCTGATACGCTTAGACCAGGCGTCTGATAACATATCTACGCTGCCGGCACAGATACAAGCCTTACGATATTTATGGCCTCTCAGCCATATCTCCAGTACGGTGTCTCACATCTATATTCTGTATCTCAATATGCCTGCCAAGGGAGTCCCAAAAACCTCATGGCAGGAGCAGCATGTTCACCAGTTATACGATCTCCTTCAGTCTTGTGCTGATTTCCCCACGTTGTCGGCTAAGATTAGAGATGTCCTCCTTCAGGCGGTGCAGGCTGTGGAGAGTCAAATCAAGACATTGCCTTCACAACTTTACTTGTTAACTGCCTACCATATCATAATCGCACACATGTTATTCTCCAAGAATAAAACGGACCAAAAGTCGTTGAGAATATCGTCTACGATCATAAATGCCTTCTGCCAGTCTGCATCGGCACTTCTGGCCCTTTCGTATCGCTCCCTAGATCCGTCAAAGGGTATAATGCCGGTACAGAGGGAAGGAGGGATGGCATTTATCAATATGCTTGTCCTGGGGCTCGATACGTGTAGTAGAGCCCTAGTTCATATTTATGACCATCTCAGCCGTGGTTTGATTAACGGTCAAAAAGAACATACAGCAATCAAAGAAGATCTAGCGAATTATGCTGATAAATTTCATCAAATTTGTAAAAGCGATGCGGTCTCACGATGTGGAACCGTAATGCGGCCCGTTAAGAAACGGCTCAAATGGGCGAAATTGGCATTTCAACACCTTCAGATACTACCTGAGCCCCAGCAAGTACTTTCATCTGCCCAGCACGGGGCCTCTGGCTCGACTATATCCTTAAATCTCGGCTGGCCCCATATTGATGGCTTGCTGTTAGATCCCGCCTTTGCTACTGCCCGACCTGGAGATATGTCATCGTCAGATATAGTTTCCGATGCGCTCTTGGTGGACCGGCAGCCGGTTTCAGGCATTACTGACCCATTCTTTGTTGTAGATGACCCCATAATCAACACGCTTCTAGGCTTTCCGGGGGTTACTGATGCCCATGAGCAGTTCTATCAAAACCATACGTACCTCCAGCCGAGCAAGCTGAGCATAGGGTCGGAGCAAGAGCTTCTCCGCACTCCAAATTCAACATCCTTGCTTCCAGGCGACGGAGAAAGTCTAGACTTGGTGTATCGTGGCGCCAGGCGTTCGCCTTTGAGTCTCGCCAATACCGATGACCGCCCGAATGAGCTTAACTCTACGCCATCTGGCATGACAGAATTTATGTATAGTGACGCTATCAATTTCACGTCGCCAGAGCAGACCTTGGACAACGATTTATTGTCACAGTTGCTCAGCAACCCCGATGATAACATAGGACCCTTGTGCGGCAAATGATGTAGGCATCTATGACTGCAAACGCGGCCCTCATTATGAAGTTAGGCGTCTCGTAGGTCTAGCCATGCTCAACTGTTCCTGGCAGTCAAGGCTTCCTACACCGGCAGCCATTAAAGCAAACACGGCTAACAACCCCTTGTGTGAGGCCTACTGTTAGGGATACTAGCTTCTAACAATCATGGAGCATTGACTTGAAAACGGATTCGATGACCACACAGTTTAAGGCCCGTTGTTGTACCGGACGGACCTTACCTCAGGCCCCGAAGCCTCAAATCAGGACCCCTCATGAGACTAAGGATAGATGGAGTGTTGAATGGACTTCATTGTGATGGTTTTATTTCAAATCTACTCTATTAAACTTAGTTGACCGGTATCAAGCTGTTATTATAGCTCACGGCTGGGAGACACCTATGTGACATATATCGCTCAAAGTTTCCAGGAAACTATACAAAAACAAGGGAATAGAAACATATGGCGCTCTCTATCCAACAGGAAGAAGGGCAAAAAAGGGAGAGAAAACATTGAAAAGGAAAGAGGGGGGGGGGAATCTAAATGCGAAAACAATCAAAAAACATTGACTTGAAGCCCATCAAACCATAACCTTACTCCCTTCAATCTCCTCAAGCAGTAATGGTTATCGGCCGTCCCAGATACGGGTTATCCAGCTGCAATGGCCGACGAACAAAGTTCTCAAAGATCCAAAGACCAACATCATTGCGACAAATAGTATACCCAATCGCGGGGTTCATCTCCGTCCCAGCCCTAATCCTAGCCAGTCCAACTCCCTCACCATCTGTGAACCAACTAGGGCGAACGAGAGTATAATCCCGAATTGCCCTATCTGCTTCGGGCCTCCTCATCTCGTCGAAGATAGTCTCCTCCATGACTTTCTTGTCCGCATGTGGCTCCCTCAGCAGCCAGTAGTTCAACGGCACCATGGCAATCGGCGAGTCTCGCTTCTTGGTGGTCAACCCCACCGAGCTAATAGCGATAAGCACCGGCTTTGCACCAAGTGCTCGGGATGCCGCGAGTATGGTTCTAACGGCGTCCTGGCAGATAGTCGGGTTGTCGAGCCTGGGTCTCAACGGGTTCGTGAAAATGGGTTTGCCGCCGACGCCGGAGATAATTATGTCGACGGGTCGACCCTTGTACACGAGTGTCTGTTGCACTGCGTCAAGGTCCGTCACGCTGCCTTTGACAACGTAGAGCTTGTCTGCGGTGACTGATTCGGAAATACCCCGTTGGCGCAGTAGATTCTGGAGCTTGGCCGGATCGCGAACCACTAGGATGTCATTAGAATCACAACTGAAGACCAACATGTACCCCAAAACAGGAAACGGGCATAGTAGGTAGATGGAAGAGATAAATCAAATACATACAAGCAGAGCAACAGATACCGGCCTCCAAGGCTTGAACCAAACAAGCCAAAGTACATCCGCCCGTGGAACCAAAGAAAGCAACAGTATGAAGATTGCCCGCAGCCATGGCGAATAAAATTATTGAAGGTGCAAAATGAGAGAGATAGTTGCAATTCTTGTAATTGTGATTGTAAGTGATGAATTGGAACTTACATTCTCGGATCTAAGTCATCTTTTATATTCTTATGTGTGGGGTCTATGCTGCGTTGGGTGGGAGTAAATCTCCGTCTAGAGACGGAGACTTTTGGATCCCCGGGGGCTGTGTTGACTAACACCTCCGTTTCCAGGCGGTGGTTTTTTTGTGCACAAATAACCATGTGTGGATGGTTTTCCCAGGGATTATAAATGTTTAGTTCGATCTTATTGCTTTTAATCTTGATATACGGGGGATCTAGCTCGAGGCATCGTGGTGGATTGTAGGCTATTGACGGTGCCGCCCAGTAGTACTGGCGGAGGTTGATGTACGGCCTACTTTGTATCAATTTAAAAACTGAACATATCTTCGTAATATTCGCTAGTTATAGTATCAAATCACAGGCAAAGAAAAAAAAATTGTAGTCGACAGAAGATGTGTGTGACTTGGGGTATCCCATAGGCTTTGTTATGTGGGAAACAGGAAATCGCTAGACACAGAACGGAAAGCTTAAAAAACATACAAAGGAAAGCAGAGACAAAGAGAGAGAGAGCCTCAAACAAGGGAGCAGGGCCAGAAGATAAAAACAGACCTCTGTAGTCTAGAGGCAAAAATTCTAGGTCATCCATATGTAGTCCCGCACTGCCGCGCGTTGAGCGCTAGAGAGACCAGACAGGTAGAACACAAGATCGTGTAAATAACCTGGAAAACACAGAGAATAATGAAATACTGTGGTCCAACCAGAGTCATGTGTCCAGCACATTGTTAGCGCCTGGCCAACATAGAACTTTCATAATGACTAGACGTTTAGGCGAGAAACGTCAATTAAGGCCCAGAGACACGATCATTGGCTTATAGACTTCCGCATCTTTCGGCCTACCCAGTCAGCTAGCATCGAATCCAACTGACTGTTCATTTCCTTGAGTCGCTTGCTCTCCTCCTTAAACAGGCTACCAGTGATTGGGTGATCAGGGCCAGCAGGGGGAACGTTAGAGTTATCGTGAACGATGATGAACAAGTCGCGGATATCGCTTTCATCGTCAAGGTAGGATCGCAGGCTAGCATCGCTCCATGTAGGTGTATCGGTCGACCCTACGTCGAACGACGTTCTATCTGCATCAAGATTCCTGCTACTGTTGCTCTCGACAGCTGGAGACAAAGGCGGGGATACCGGGGAGACGGAGAAGCCTCCAGGTGATGATGGATCCATCGTCATGCCCGGTGCACCTGGTGAAGATGGGCCCTCCACTGGGGATATATCCACTGGAGAAACTTCCACCGGGGAGTCTCCACGGAAGCCTTGGTATCCCACATCCTGCCTTGGAGGGAAATTTTGTGGTGGAGAGGCAACGGAGTGTTGCGAATAGTGAGGTCTGGTAGGAGATGCTACCGTGTCTGCTGAACTTGGCTGTGCAGTGTTGAGTTTCTTCAATGGGCTTGATGTCCGAATGGGAGAGGACAAAGGCTGGTCTTGCTGAAGATTAGTCGAGACAGGGGACTGTGGGATATCGTCCTCGGACGCTACTTGGCGTATCGTTTGCTCTTTCCTCTGGCTCTGTGCAACGTTCACATCATCATTAGCCTCCGCTGATCTCTGTGCCGCCCGTTCCTGCTCCACGCCATTTCTTGAAGGAGCCTGGACGACTGGGGATTGCTTCTGCAGCTTGCTGGCCTGTTTCTGCACCACGAGAGGGTTAGGAGATTTTGACTCGGGAGACGATATCGATTCTGATGATGTCTTGGGTTGTGGCGAAGATCGAGACAATTCACCCGAAACCTTTTCTGCCTCATCAACATCTTCTTCGGCTGCCTTCGTCTTTTTGTCTTTTCTCTTGAATAAGCCACTGAGCATCCCTGGTTTTTTGTCTTTGCGCTTTTTGTCGTCCTTGTTCTTATCATATGCGCTGAGAGCTTTCTCGACAGCCTCCATGCTCCCACGGGTCTTGCAATTTGATACATTGTCAGCAATCCCTTCAATTGAATAGCTTATGGGAGTGTATCCTACCTCTCGTGCGTCATTGGCTACGCTACCACTGCCAACCTCGTCGCGGAGGAGGTTTGGTGTAAGAGAGATTTTCTTCGTCTCAACGGTGTCATCCTTGAAGAATGAGTCTGTGTTACGCACAGTCCCGTTTCTTGACCGGCTGACAGCTGTTTCTGCTGAGTAAGGTTTTAGCAATTAATCATACATCTCGTTCTGTATGATTCGGAGGATAGCCATACCTTCAGACTCCAACAACTCCACACTAGATCGTTGGTTCTCGGGGCTGGCCCGATCAGATTCTTTGACTTCGTGTACTGTTTCCAAATCCTCGCTTGCCTTGTCTCTTTGCGACTTCGGTCTGAGAGGCTCGACAACAATGTCCTCATGTTCACTCTCTTGCAGGTCGTCAACATCCCCTTGCAATCCATCCACATCGGTCAAAGAAGCAACATCGTCCAGTTCGTCATCCGTCGAAAACTCTATGTCAGATGCTTCAATGTAGGTTGGGCTCGTAAACGTTACGGTCTTCGCGTTTCTACGGCGCATTGCTTTCTTCAGCGGATTCTTAGACTTTTCCGAGTTGTCTCCGAGCATCGTCGCGGAAAGCTGCTTTTGTTAGAGGACGTCATTTAAGACTAGAATAGAACCGCCTACATCGACATTTCTGTGTTTATTTAATCTTGCCAATCTTTCGGTTGGTGTCTCAATATGCTCGGCAGGCAGATACCCTATTGCTAGTTAGCTTCAGTTTGAGGAGTCCAAATCCTCAGCTTACCAATACTGCCATCTTTGACGATTCGAACAAGCCACCAGTAGCTGTTACTGTCGTCCAGAAGGACCATAGTGTCACCCTTTGCCGCGTTGGCTTGTCCATCAACGGTTGCAACGAAGTTGTGAAGCGCATAAACAAACTCGAAGTCGATATCCTCTACTCAAAGTCAGATAGAACTTTGTGCAAACTTTGGGGAGAAATCCAAAGTATTGGCCCGTCTTCGAAATCTTTGGGTTTTCATTGAGAGATATAACGCACCGTCGTCGATAGATGGGGAGCTCGAGATTTTATCCATAAGATCATCATCCAACAAATCATCATCGCCTTCTCCGTCTGCTAGGTCACCATCTTCTGAGCCTCCAACGTGCTGACTGTGCCCTAGGTCGTCGTCCAAATCATCGTCGTCATCATATATATCGATACCATCGCGATAATCATCGGCGGCTAGGTGATTTTCTTCGGTCCCGGGCCCATGCATCACTTCTTCTCTCGTGTCTTGATCGGCATGCCGAATGGATTGCTCCTGGTGGGGTCCAAAGCCGCTGCTTACGACAATATGCTGTTTCGAATGATCCTTAGCCGAGGGTGCATGCTGGTCTTGAAGATCAAGAGTATCTGACACCGGGCAGTTAGCCTTAAACGCTGATGGAGTCAGGTATCAATGGCTCGTATGGCGACGTACCAGCGCGAACAATTCGGGGGCGCGTCATATTGGGTGAGTTTCCACTGTCGACTTAGGGATGAAAGTGAAGTAGCGCGGAGAACAGAACCAACAAGCGACTCATTTAAGTCGTGAAGATTAGAGTCAAATGAAACGGGAGGAAATAATCTGACGCTCTCCGAGGTCCTGATAAAGAATGAAAGGTCGCAAAGGCCTAGTGCGTGCGTCAAATGAAAGAATATCGCGGAGATTTAGGCGCGAGGGACAAGAAAAGGCGGATATTAAAAATTGGCAGAGCCACAAACAACGACAGCGGGGGTTTGTTTGACAACTGTACAGCAGCGAGGCGCACGGGGTTGGTCGAAGGTCGGGCAACAAGGCGAGCAAAAAATAAAGAGAACGAAGAAAAGAAATATACTCTCAGAGCAATATCGAAATTTCACAATAAACACAACAATAAACAAGGCTGCAGCAGGGCAGCAAAAGGTACAGCAGCCGAAACCGTGCTAAATGACAAGAACGAGTTCCCCGGACTTTCAGGACAACCACAAAAAGGAGGTTCTCCAGTGTTAATTGCCCCCCCCCAAAACAAGCGCCCCTTGCGCGCGCTTAATCAAACCATTCCCAAAGCGGCCTCGTGCCTGAACCAACGAGTTGAAAGAAGCCAAAATGCCAAGGTCTAGACTGCTTACCGTCCCGATTGGCTGGGGCTTCACCGGTGAACGGCTTAGGGCTCCCAGTTGAGGGTTCCCGGTGGGTCAGGTGACACTTTGTAGGCTAGGGCCGAAAGCAGACTAGGGCCGGCCCACGGGACTCCGCTGGGCGTGCTGTTAATGGTTGGTAACTGGTCAATGATGATTGCATTTTACATGATCTTCGTTTCCCCGCTGCTGGCTTTCCGATCTTGCAATGACATCGCCTTCCGTTATCTCCCGATATGCCCATCCTTGCCCATTTCCGTCCCAGTCTGACGATTTTTCTTCCTTCTTCTCATTTACCTCTGCCTGGTGGTTGCTACCTGACGTCGAATACCATTTACATTACTAAGAGAACCACTTGGGCTTGCTTTTAAAAGCCATTTAACCTTTATTTTATTCTTCTTACCCCACCGGAACTGTCTAAACTGGTTGTTTCTTATACAATTTCTCAAAGCGTTGGTTCCTCTCGATGTTGCACCACTGCACCTATCAGCTGGGAGGACTGTGAATTTCTTCTTTTTCTTTTTTCTTGACCTTTTGACATCGCCGATTAAGAGGACTTCGTGCTCTCTGTAAGGGCATGGCTCAGACAGAGAGGAACAGTGCGTTGGCAGGGTTGAAGATCGACACATCCTTTCCTCTTACACACAGACCTAGATGGCGAAGTGAGGCTGGAGGCAGGAGAGTGACGGATGATGGAACTGGTATCGAGGGCGACCGTACAAACATCTTTCACGAATCTGGCGCACGCCGTTACGGTACTGATGAAGACAACAGTGTTCTGAGCAGCCTGCATTCAGCGACTCCCCCTATCTCCGTACCCCGACATGATGATCATCCCAAGGAAGATGTTAGCTTCCCGCAAAGACCTGAGGATGTACAATCATCTCCGCTTGACAGCTTCCTTCACAGCCGCCGCCGTTCCGTCAGTTTCGACCCGAATATCACCATTGACTCCGGACAGCCTCAGGCACTAGGAGAGCCGTTGGCAAAGGGCGTTGTAAGGACACGACCCCAGAGATTCCAGGCAAAAGGCTCGAGCCTGAAAAACACGCTACCCCAGGATGATGATGACGATCACTATCCGAGACAAGGATATCGGGCTCAGCGGGACTTCGACTCTCATGAAGGTTTCCTGAGTAGTCCTGATGATGACATGCCCGGGACTTCGGCGATTGATCGTCCCACGTCGTTGACATCGATCTCCACGGCTTCCCCCATCACCGAAGAGCTGCGTACCCCTCCTGAAGGATCCAAAGGCGCCCTACCGTCACCCTTCTGCGTAGCGTCTCCTGTGCAAGGATTTGCTTCGCTTGATGACCGCAGCTCCTGGTCTAGTAGCGTTATAACCCCTTTCGGAAGCAAGACAAGAGGTTTTAGAGGCCCCACTCGCCAGAGCTCCCGCCGATCAACAGCTTCGAGCGGCAAGTCTCCCGCCAGCATGTTTCTTTCCATGTGGAGCAGTGGCGAAGAGCCTGCACCACAGCCTGATGATGAGGGTCAAATGGTCGGGACTGAGTATGTTCTGGGAAAGCAGATCGGATTTGGGGGGTTCAGTACGGTAAAGGAGGCGTACAAAGCCGATGAAACTGGTGGAACCAAACGGTTGGCTGTTAAGATTGTGCGGAAACAAGTCTCGGGAAAGAATGAAAAGGAGAACGATGAGGTTCAAGCAGAATTTGATCATGAAGTTCGAGTCTGGCGATATCTCAGCCATCCAAATGTTTTGACACTTGACGCTGTCTACGAAACTGACTACGCAACATTTTGTTTCACTAAATTAGCCATTGGCGGTACCCTTTTCGATCTTATTCGGCAAAACCGACGCGGTCTTGATATGAAACTTGCAAAGAAATATACATATCAGTTAGCGTGTGCGCTGCGATACCTGCATGAAGATGCCCGAGTGGTGCACCGAGATATCAAACTGGAGAACTGTCTTCTGGACCCGATAGAGCTTCCAGACGGAACGAAGGCGTCGAATCTTGTCTTGTGTGATTTCGGAATGGCAGAATGGATGAATATCGATAACGGCGGTGACTCTCCCGACCCATACGACGACGCTGCGGATCGGCCGCCACCCAAAACTATCGGTCCTGCTGGGTCCAGTACTAGCGTTGCAGGAAGCTTGGAATATGCATCTCCAGAACTGCTTCTTTCTACCAGTGGTGTCATCGACGCATCCGTTGATATATGGGCATTTGGCGTGATCGCTTATACTGTGGTCGTAGGGTCTCGCCCCTTTCAAGATCCATTCACGCCCCGCATTCAATCGCACATTCTTAGCGGGAGCTGGGACAGGACGGCAGTCTTAGGTGATGAAACAGATATGCCGGCCCGCAGGGACCGGGAGCATGCCCTTGAGTTGATCGAGGGTTGCTTGGATATGAACGTTGAAAACCGTTGGACCATCCGTGATGTACTCTCATCCCGTTGGCTGCGGGAACTCTCTGAAAAGGGTGAAGATGGTGAAGCCGACACCATCTGGAAGCTGTGAGGCTTCTTCTTCTTTTTCTTTTTCTCTTCTTTCCGTATTGATTTCTTACCCGTTTCGGTTGAGGTGTCTTGAAATATGGGATATGACGCATTGCATTTCGACTTACGATATATTGATGATCAAAACTGGCGCTATTATGATATGGACAAGCGCTGGTGTTCGGGATTAATTGATCATCTATGATACCCTCTCTTTCTGTGCTTTTGTTGTTTGCGATTCTATTGGTTGACATTTCGGTATACGGCGGAGGCTCCTTTCATACATCATCTTGTTCACTCTTGGGGGGGCCTCATGGCTTTGATTGTTCTGGGCGGATGCTACTTTTTATGCAATGGTTGGTCCTGGTATCTTTGGAGGATATGTTCTTCGGTTTCATCAGCATGGCGTTTGGTTGGTCTGGTTTTCTGCAGCGTTATATTCTCCTTTCCTGTATCTATATAGCTGGTAGCTGTGCTGTACTATGCAGTTAGTGGGATTCTAGTTATAATTGCACCGCCTTCTAGAAGGAGGCTTGAAAACGCCAAAATCCATTTCAAAAAAGCTATCACAACGTGTACACTGGTAAAGTTTGATAATATCCTTAGATAGACATATTCAATAACTGCCCTCATCGCAAAGAATTGTACCCCCCGTTCTCATGGGAGACATGCACTTAGCAAGACTTCCTCAACAAGAAACTCCAATCACACCAAAAACTAGCATTCCACGCCGTTATAAAGAGAAACAGCCCATATAGTGAACATCGTTATCAGATTCAGTGTAGTATAAAACCCTCTCAGCCAGTTATCCATCATCGACCGCAAAAGCCAATGTAGAATAGACTAACAACTCCCAAACTTCCACGAAACCCGCTGTCCAGAGGTACATATACCTTACTGCAGGTGAGCGGGTGAATTAGCAAGCACTATAGCCAGTAGAGAGGAATACTGATTGATTGCTAGGTGACTTGAAGATGGGAACTACTGTTCAGCTGATGCCGGATGAAGTCTAGGAGTAATGGGTTGTTCGGGCTTCGTTTGGGGTATGAAGGGGAATGGTGACATTGTAGGTGGATGTTGTCTGGTATATATGAATACCGGGCTGTATTCGACATTCTCATGATGACTATCACATGTCACGCGTTCCTATTCTAAAGGTTTGTGTTGAATAGTATAGATAGTTTTGGATTGGATTGGATTACCAGGAATTTGTGTCATAATTGGTGCCTCGTGCTTGACAACCATCCCGATAATGGCCTAGAAAGAGGACTGACAGAGAGTTCCGACGTTTCAATCTCTGGCGGGTAGTGCAGGTCATTTTGCTTGCGCACCAAGTCCATGATCTCCATGACTAGTAGGCTCTCCGCCCAAGGCATCTCGGGACTTTCCAGGAGCTCTTCGCGGATGCATCGTGCGACCTCGTCCGCCTCCGGGATGAACAACGGCTCTGCCTCCTGAAGTGTCTCTCTATAAGGCTCTGAAAGGCTGTATCTATTCTTGAAGACATACAGCTCTGTCGGTATCGTTTCCCACCCATGGATCTCGATCTTGCCATTAGAGCCTTCGATAATCACATGTGCGAGCTGTCCGTTGGGGCCGGCTGCGGTAGATAAGCTGGCGCTTGCTTGAGCATGTATTTCACGTACACCTGTCGAAAAAATCATCTCGACAATGGTGGTTTCGTCGACGCCTGACTTGGGATACTTCTTCATGGTAGACGTAACCTGGGTTGGGCGAGTCGTTCCTCTTGGGAGAGCCCGAAGTATCCAATGCAAGGCCAAACTACCAACTAGTACGCCATTAGCCTTGGTTTGAACAAAGCTGATTCATGGGTAACCTGCGTTCCAAGAGCGCCCCGCCAGCCAGGTCTTTCGATGTCAGTCGACCACTCTCAGGGCGGAACATGCAATAGTTGTTTCTGACGCCAAAGTTGGCAACTATGCGATTGACTTCTCCAATCTCTCCCTCTCTAAGCAGCTGACAGGTTTTTCTACTTGCTTGTGGCCACCACAGCCACCATCCCTCCATGAGGAATAGTCGCTTCCGCTGTGCAATCTCGAACAGCTTCCTGGCTTGTGCAGCGTTCACTGTCAGGCTCTTCTGGCAGACGACATGTTTTCCTGCTTCGAGGGCCATCAAAGCATTTTGGAAATGGTGGGAGTGCGGTGTGGCAATGAACACCACATCGATGAGGTCACTGCGAACTAACTCCGAATAGTCGCGAAATGTCAAGGTGCATTCGGGAACCTCAAAGGATTTGAGGAGCTCCTTAGCCATATCTTCCGAGCGAGAGGACGCTACGCCGACTAATGCGTGATGAGGGTCATTTGGATCTTCTTTGCCCATATGATAATTGAGGTTCCCCGTAAAGCCTAGGTGGGTTAGCGAACCGTATGTCTGGGGCAGGGAAATTGAGAACACGTACACCTGGCATAACATCCTGTGCCTTCAAATGATAGGCCATTCTTCAGCTTATGTTATAATAGATTATGGGACAACTAAGTACACACCTAGAATGCCCCAGTGTAAGAGTTCTATTTCATCTTCCACTTCACTCATTGTGATATTGGACATGGAACGGTGACAGTTATCAGCAATCCAGGCGTCAACAAAGGGGTGTGGACTTCGCTACTGCTCTAATGCAGTGGATGCCGCAGTCTCACTGTTATTGCTTTCAGAGCTGGCTATCCATCTTTCATATTCTCGTTTGCCAGCGCTTGCTCTTCTAGCCAAGTCCATATTTGAACGAGATCTGGAGCCACGTCGCATGTGCGCCTTGACTCTTCTTGAGTCACATCGATATATTTTCCAAGGTACTTCCTACCCATTGATTGGAGATGCGCATGGTGAACAGTCCGGATTATTGGTTACACAGTTCTGCTGTACCGCCGCTGTTCAGCATGGAATCTTGCAACCGCTAAGGTTTCTCCTCAGTCTTACCGGGCACAAGCATGGATATCGGCCTCGTCTAGGCAAACGTACAGTACGACAACTTGTAGGGCAGCACTGACTGGAATACCACAGTAGGATCATGCGGAAGCAACGACGCCCAGGGTATACATCAATGGGAAAGATAGCACGATGAAAGCCAGGAAACATTCCACAACAGGCAGAAATACCACGTTAGACTTGGGTACTCCGCGAATTGTTATACCAATGTAAAAGAGGGAAATAGGGAAATCAAGATTCATCCAGCCTATTCACGTATCTAGAGTGCATATTTATACAAGTAGCTGTCAAACCAAAAAGAGAACATCAATGGGGGGAAAAAATACATAGTGCAGAGATAATGAATCACTTGGCCATCATCACCAGGCTGATAGAGGGGCATGCAAAGTTCTCCGTTGGGCAAGGCTTGCTGACCATCCCTAAACATATTGTCCGTGAAACTGTTCACAAGCACCAAATTACCAAAGTCTGTTCTCGGGCAAGACCTTCTCCTTCTTAACACCAGCAGCAGTCTTCCTCTCAACCGGCGAGCGGAAGAACAGACTGGGTCCCTCCATAGGCTTCAACAAATGGCTCAGATAACCCCTGTGAGCAGGATCACGGTAGTACTCGATATCTTTTCTCTTCGTCGGGTCGGGCAGCCTATACTGGAAGCCCATCTCCTTCATAATGGCAGACTCGGTCAGGGTCTCTGCTCCCTCAGCGTTGTTCAATCCCTCACTACCACTCTCCTTTGTCCAGGCCGTAGACACGAATGGGTGCATTTCACGGCGCATGATGCGTGCGATTGCCGACTTGGTGTAGAATCTGGTAGTAACGGATCCGCCCGCAGCCTCAACAGCAGCAATGGCGCTTGCTGAGGCGCGAGAAACGACGATATGGATGGGTTGTTTGAGGGTAGATTCAGCGCCTCGACCGAGAAGCTTCACTCCTTCTTTTGTTTGGTGGATGCAGCGTGATTGGGCCAGCTCGCGGATGGTGACGGGCCGAGCAGGGTCGATACGGCCTTGGTCGATCCATTCTTGGATGCGGTCGAGGTTGACGGGGGCGAGGTCAAGAGAGAAGCTGTATTAGCCGGAGTCAGTAAGTTCATCATGCCTCCCGCACTTGCAATTCCGGTAATGGCGGCAGTGTGTAAAACCGGCAGAGCCAGAATACAGAAAATAAGAAAACATACACATTATTGAACCCTCTCTCGCCATGAACAATAATTTCTGGCGTCTGACCACCATTGAATCTAGCCGGGACCTTTCCATGCTGCTTTTGACCCTTATGACCTCTTCCAGAGGTCTTACCTTTCCCAGATGCTGGACCGCGACCTCTCCTGATCCGCTTGTTATAGGCACCCGGGGTATCGGAAAGGGAAGCTAGGATGTGAGCATTGCGGCTTTGTTGCTGAAGCTGGGGAAAAAGTAGGGAAAGGGACGAGACGGCGGATAGGGGTTTTGAAAGTGGGCGCTGCCACTGGGCAGGCAGTATTTGAAGCCTGGGTGGCATGGTGATTTGCAATGTTCAGTCGTCGTTGGAGAATCAACGGGTTTCGGCGTGAGATACACGCCAAAGATCTTTCGGAGGCTTGCCTGAGGCCCGTGGCCGGAGATACATCGGGCCGGTGAGGGCGAGGACTGTATTGTAGGTCCAAAATTCCACTTGCCATAACTTTTGAAATATCATAATTTCTATGCGTTACATAACGACTTATTCCCTTATGTGATTTTCCAGTGAATTTGTATCGAGGAATCTTGTTCCAGTCGACCTGGTACCTACTACTACTAGTAGTAGTCTATCCATTCACTGCAGCTACAGGATTCCTCCATCTCCCATTGGTCAATTACTCTATTCTAAGTTACCGCTCTCATTATATGGCAGAATTATCTTTTGTTAGAGGCGGTGTGGTGGATAAGCTGATCGGGGTTGTTACAATGCCAGATTTATATGGATCGAAAAAGTTTTCATACATTTATATCCCTTGCAGACCACTATGAGCCTGTTTGGGTACTTCTTTATGGTGTCACTTGCGAACTCCTAAACATGCCAATGCAAGCAGATGTTCGACATGGGTGTATGAACGGAGATAGCAATCAACAACGCCATTGCCATGCTTCGTCCAAATAAAAAAAATATAAAAAAAAAAAAAAGTCGCCCCTCCCTGATCCTTAATGATCTCGTTGGCTCCTCAATGCAATAGCCGTCTATAATATTGAACGCCGTAATAATGCAAGGTCGTTAGAATAACAGAAAAAAGGAGAGCTGTAAACTGTACAAGATACAGGATGGAAGAAGAAAAAAAAAGAAAAGACAAAGAATGAAGGCTAAACACCTCTTTCGTACGGAGTCATGATTCAATCGTAACATGAGATGCAGATGTCAATGAACTTTAATAGTGTGGAGTTGAATGGAAGGTGGGTTGAAGAAAAGGTGCCTGCGGCCAAGCCTCATGATGAAGGTAGGGTAGCAGGCCTGTCTTGCGCTCTGCTGCAGTTTTGCCGAGTGGCTGATAATGCATATGCTCGAAAGGAACTGCGCGCTGTTGTTGAAGTGAGGACGACGGTGGAGGAATCAACAAGGTGTTGAAATTGCGAACAGGTCGGTAAGGTGAGTTGCGGTTTGCAAGGAAGAAGGAAGGCGACAAGTTAGTCTGGGGGGTGTGGCTGGAGTATGCAGAGATGGCGGGAGAGATGGTGGCCGAGGTGACGCCAAACGGACTATTATGCTGCCTTGCAGGGTCTGGGAGTGACACCGAGGGGTTGTACAATCCGTTCGTAATGGGAGGGACCTGGGTTGGTGGCAGCTGGGGGACCCAATTGGTGGAAGGATTGTAGACCGAATGCATTGCGCGATTAGCAACGGAGGGAAATGGAAGCACAGATGTTGGAATGCCCGAAACTAGGGCATTAGAAGATGGTGGGAAGTTCGGACGTGGCAATCGTGACACTGATCCAGATAGGCTATTCACAGAGGGTGCAGATGTTGCTGCCAAGACTGGTGGCAAAGTAGGGACACCGGTCAAAGCAGCCGATGGAAGCGTGGACATCGACGTAGATAGAGCAGTCGGCATTGCCACTCTTTTTGGTGGTTGGTCTTCAACGTAGTCGTCTAGGGTTCGCTTCTTGGAAGGCACCGGCGGGAATTCCTTGCTCAAGTGGGGAGGTGCTGCGTATGCTGGCGCGTTTGATGGCAAGCTCCAGTCTGAGCACGAAGAACATCTGAATTGGGAGGGGAGGGCAGTCTCTGTGAGGGCGACACTTGAGAAGCTCCTAGATTTGGCGAAATACGAAGTGCTGGAGATGACGACTCTAGTTCCTTCGGTTCCGGTGCCAAAGATGCCTTGTTGAAAAAGTCGGCAAAAAGGCTAAGTTTCGAGTGCCATTGCGTCCACCCTTCCTCCGAAACGAAGAGATTGTACCGCACATTGCTGAGAAATTCCACCTCCATAACATGTATTTCCTGCACAGAAATGCCAGAAACCTCGGCCCACGTTTTATTAGTGTAGGTGTTGTCGTCGAGAACTAGACGCTGGTTAGCTCACTTTCTGAATATTAGCCTGTGGAAGATGTTCAAACCAACATTTATTTCCCAGCATAAGAGCAATTGTCATCAATCTATACTCGCTACCCTTCTTTCCTCGGACTCGATGGTTGAATTTCTTCAGCCGGTATATGAAAAGAAGTGCTAATAGAATGACATTTTGGCTCACTTGCGTAGTCGAGAGGATGTTTGTTACCCATTTCTGGAAACCAGCGGACGGAATCGCTTCTGGCACAATGTACAGAAGAGGGTTCTTTTTTTCCTCGATATCATTCAACTTGGCCGTAGTTTCAAACCAGAACAAGCATGTCATCTGCCTGAGTTAGTATACATGGCTTCTCACACAGTAAGCAGCAATGGTCCCTTACCTGAGCAGCAAAATCGGCCAGATTACCCTTGCTATTGTTGATAGATGACGGTATCTGCAAATAAGACGCAACGGACTTAGAACCTCCTTTCTTCTGGCTAGCTGGCTCAGAAGACGGGGCGTCTTGAAGCGAGGATTGACTCGGTGGCTTCGACTGCGGTACAGAGGCAGTAGAGTGGTGTTCCGATGCCATGCGCGTATAGTTCGGAGCTTTGGCGTAGGGGTGAAGTGTAACTCCACCAAATTTACCGCCATAACCGGAGGGCGGAATACTATTATACGCAACGCCGGCCATATCGTTCGGAGGAGTAGGCAGACCGTCCCTGAACGGTGCGGTCCAGTGGTGATCAGGGTCCTCCAAAACTGTTTCGAGATGTTGTCTTTTCGCACAAGTCGAATCTTCCGTCCGGGGATAGAGAGGTATGGTGGGGGTGAACGGATGTGGGACAGAAAACGACTGTGTTGAGAACACTGGAAGCGACATAAGGAGGTTTGCAGGTGGAGAATAGAAGAGAGAAGTTGTTGAGGTAATACTGCTGAACACAGCTTCTCATGGAACTCCCATTGGCATCAACCACGACTAAGTATTCAATATCGCCGACACTGATAGTTGTTCACTTCCGAATGGCTAGACCGTCTGGGAAGAAATAGTGTTGGTAGTGGATGGTAGACCACAGGGAATTGCACAGAATTATTTGGAGAGAGTTATTGAACACTAAAGTGGAGGATGGATCCAGCTTTTGGTCATATCAAAAAAAAAAAAATGCCGTGAAGGTCCCGGAGGATAGCAACAGTAGCGGACCCAGTGAATGTTGATCGTGCCTTGGTCGGTGGAATGAAGGCACTGAAGGGGGTGGGAGAAGATTAATTGAAAAAAGGCCAGACCAAGAGTAAGCAAATCTCAATATAGTATTTAGTCACAGTGTTGTGAATTGGTATAGATTGGAAGGTGAGAACGGAGATGTACTTGAACCTTTAGGAAGTTGCAAGTACATCCAGTTATAGAAAACTCATATATCCAGTAACAAAATAAGGAAAACTAATATAAAAGGAAAGTCCAAAGAATCAAAAAAGCCAAATAGAAAAAAAAAATAATAATTAAAAAGCCCCAGACCCTCTATGGAATCAAACCATATAGAAAGGAAAAAATAAAATAAAATAAAAAAGGTGAATTTAAATTGAATTAAGGCGAACAAGAAACACTAAATTAAAATAAATATGAAAAAGGAAGGGAAGGTGAAAAAAAAAAAATGGAGTAATAATGAAGGATGAAGTCAAGACATCATCCTCATCCAGCAAATAATAACTAAACCTCATACATCTCCGCTAGATGAGCCAGGGTAGGTCTTTAGTCCATGTCCGGAGAAGTGCAACGACCATACAGGATAGACAAAGTTTGACCCGGACGCAGGTCCAGAGGGCTGATCCTCCTTTCTGGACTCGTTTGGGTCGGTTCCGGTTTGGTCATCCAGGTTTGATTGTCTCTGCTTTGTCTTGAAGATAATTGAAATACCGGTTGATGTCAGAGCCCCGGGGAGGGGGTTAAAGCAGGTGGATGCATGCTACGGAATAGTGGAAGGCTCACTAAACTTGAACAGGGTCAGTCAGCAGCCCCCCAGTTCAGGTTTAGTGGGAAAACCTTTCACTCACTAGTTAAGGTCAAGTCTACTGGTCACCGTCCTAACCGAAAAGGGAAGGGAAAAGGGTGATGGAAGAGAGAGGATGACCTCGTTGTGGTGATGAGCGAACATCATCATCTACGGAGGACTGACTTTTGACTGCCTCCGTTCAAGAAAGGACCCATATCAGATCCAATAATAAGTTCGGGCTTAGCGTCGCATTGCAACCGTCGCCGTGGTCGCCGCGTCGTGTGCCGCCTTCCTTCTAGGCTCTTAGGCTCCTCTTTTTTTCTTTTCTTTTTTTTTCTTTTACACAACAACGGTAAGGGAAAAAAAAAAATGGAGCTGATTAAAAAAAAACTAATAAAAAAGCAAAAGAAAAAGAAAAAGAAAATCGGTTCGAGGGACAAAAGGGATCCATTGCTCAGCACCCTCGGGAGGCACGGGAGAAGAGTGGACGAAGGGGGGTTTGTGCACTCACTCTCTGTGTGGTTGATCGCCAATTCTAGTTCAACCTGGCGGAAGGCAAAGGAATGGGAAATTGGGTTGGGTACGGAAGAATATTGGCGAGTGGTGGTACTTTTCGGTATAATAATCAAATTACAGCGTTCTTACAAATTAACACTTGGGTTTGGCAAGAAAACTTACTAACCACCCACTAGGAATGGGGCAAAGTGAAGGCGGGGGAGAGACTGCGCGGGAACTGCGTATGGTCATGGTAACCAGGTTAGAAAGTGTTGTGGCCAAACTGGACTGATTACGAGGTTTTCGTAATCAATTGAACTCTGGATAACTTACGGAGTACTGAACAGGGTTTAGTGTAAGGCAAAAGGGAAATGAAAAATAAAATAAAAATAAAAAATGAACTCCAAGTCAGTCGGGACGCCAACAGGGTGGTACTTCCATCGACCTAATGAATGACAAGGATACTGGATCGGGTTGTCATGGCGAGGTAAAATATGTACGGGAAGTACGGAGTACGGGCTCCATGGATGATTACTACTACTGTAGTAGCTACACTTCCCTCTGCGTCAGGTATGGACCACTTGGGATGAGAATTGGAACTTGGCCGAGAAAAAAAGCCACTAAACTGAAAGGGGTCTAGTTCCCTAGTGGGTAGGGGAGGTAATATGAGTGAGAATGAATAGGCAGTAATGTATGAAACTTTGGAAAAATTCCTAGCCAACGCGACTTATCCACTGGTTGTGTAAGAATGAGAGGGGACCACTGGGGCATAGGCAGCATGTTGCGTCGAGAGTAGTAAACTATGCGTCTGGAGGGATGGGATAAGTGCACAAGGGACCCAGAAAGGAGGCGTAATGAAATTAAACCAACCAATCAATGGTCCCACATGGCGGGAGTTGATTCCAACAGACGGTAGTCCAATCGCTGCATTCAGCTTGCTTGAACTAACCTTTTCCACATATTTTACTTTCTGAACTATTACATCTTTTTTTTCCCTCTTCCCACTCGTCTTGGGAAATAGGGCTCCTGCTGGGGACAGACAGGCGCAGGCCGCGGGACCACCACCGCCCGACTCACCCAGCGACCATCAGCAGCCCCCCTCTCGCTCTCTCCCTTGTGACTCCTACTGGTACTGGTAGTGGTGGCACATAGCCTAAACAAGTCCACCGTCCGAGTCAATGATGGTTAGGTGATTGATTACCTCAAACTCCGTCTGCCGGCGAATCCGCTTCCAACTCGTCATTCACCCAATCCAACATCTGCTGCTGCGCCTTTCCAGGTTTCTTCTGTTCCTCTGCTCCGTACCGTCCGACTCCGCCCAGTCGTAATGCCCCGTGTATGGAGCATAATCCAAACCATGAATAGATGTTGACCCATTCCGTCCTATTCTACGCGCGCGAAAGCTGCAATTCAGACTAATCCGCCACTTGTTATGACACTACTACTCTAATGGTGTTGATCCGGTTTCGAGATGATAGGGCACCAATAGTCAACCATAGTGAAAGAGAACGGAAAGAAAAGACATACAAGGATCCATGACGGCGTAGACTCATACACGGGGTTTCGTCCTGTCAGCTGCTCGTGTACGTCAATAAAATATGGCCATTTTAGGGACTTAGCCCGAAAGAGAAATTCCCAGTCCCATGGTTTTAATACTACCCTCGTTATTGTCACATTGCGCAGCAACTCGGCAGCAGTAAATGGAGCTTTGATCTAAGACAACATTCATCACCACCACTCCAAAGTCCCTCGCATGGATAAGGGCGCTAAGCACAATGTGATAACACAGTTTGGCCCCTCCCCCCAGCCAAAAAAAAAAAAAGAAAAGAAAAGAAATAGGAAAAAGAACACATTCACACAGACACAGACACATAATGCGAGTTTCAACCCCCTGACCCGTGCTTTGAGACAGAGCAGAAAGTTAGAGTATGGTAGAAACAAAAGTGCTTTTGTAAGTGGTACAGTGTAGTGGCATTTTTCTGGTGTTCCAAATGATGGTCAACATGCAATAGTTTCCCTGTGGCGCCTCTACCCATCACTTAGGGGGTTCTCTTTTCTTTTTCTTTTTCTTTCATTTTACCTAGGTATTGGCAATAATAGTAGTATCCCACAGCGTCTCCAGAAGAAGCATATACTCCGGAGTCCATAGTTCTCCTCACGGTTTTAGTTGTTTTGATGAGGTACCTACTCTGACCCAAATACTCGAATGAGTTATTTCCGGCTGTCTTTTCTACGTTCGGTTAACCCGTTGTAGTTATGACGATCGTAGCACTCGGGACGCGACACTGTACATGGTACATAATGTCGAGAGTCAATGAATGCACGGAATTGAGTATCTCAAATCCCGTCGATTTTCCTTTTTCCCTGTTGAACCCCGAAGGTTTGGTCCTGAGAGTGTGGGTAGCTTCAGGATCGATTTAACTTCGATGTGGTACCAAATTTTCTTAGGGGATGTGCACCGGTCGGACGACTTTCCTGTGTCCGGCGGACAGAGTACCGTCAGATTCTGTACTTCGAACTGCTACCACTAACTTCAGGGGACAGGCAAACACTGATAGTTCGGGTATTGCTTCTGACAGTTCAGTACCGACGGAGCAGATCGATGCATTGACGATATACATTGATACAGCGTCTCATTCGCCCAAAGAGCGGCAGACCATAACTCGCCCCCCTTCGAAATTTAGGAAAAGAACGCAAAGATTAAATAATTAGAATAATAAAAAAAAAAAGAAAAAGAAAAAAGCAAAACAAAAATATGTAATGATCGAGTAGGGGATTATCAAACCCCATGGTCCGAGTAGTTACTCAGTCTATGTATCTAGTGACAGAGGACCCGGCTCTGTTGCATGTACGGAGTACTAGTAGTTCCATCGTGTATTGTTTCGCTTGGAACTCTGTGGACTGGACAAGTTGGTCTTGGCCCCTTCAATTCCTCGATTATCATCGAATTATGCGACCCAACTTATTCCTCTGCGCCTGAACCCTGCTTGCGGATTTCGCCTATGTGACTAGCAGAACCTCTCCATTATCGAACGCTCCTTGGTCAGACGATATCCGCTCTGATTGATTAACACGCAAAATTTGTCCACCTTGGCTAACTTGCTATGAGCTTTCGTCACCGAACAATATATTAATGATCAGTGATGATCAGTATTGCCCGTCGTTTGGTGGACGGTGACAAGCATACAGTAACATCATTTGAGCATCATTGGTATTATGTTGTCCCCTTGGGGAGGAACAATATTCCTGGTAATCAGGTGAAGAGTGATTTGTAACCCACTGATGGTCTGACCAAAATTGGAAATAAGGAAAGAGAAAACAGAGGATACACAACCCTCCACAACATTGATAGACTGATAATGTCTATTTGGAACCACCCGTATGGCGTAGCACCAAGTAG